CTTTACTCAGATAGAAGTGCTGCATGGAAATTCTCATTTCTCAGTTTTATGTCTAATGTAAATACAATATCTCAGGGAAAAAAAATAAAATCCTAAAAGACATGTGTGCTGGCTTGAGTGGGAACAGTGTAATGTTATATGCATTTAGCCGACATTGTTGTGAGTTTTTTTCCTTTATATAATGCAGAGCATTTTAAAGAAAGAGCTCACCCAAACTTTAATTTCATGATCTAGAATTACAATCTTTCAGCAATTCAGGCTCCTTAGATGGCGATAATCCACCTCTATATATTAACTCTCTTTGGACTACAATACTCGTAATAAAACTTGAAATTATCCTCAATTATCTTAAAACTAAAATTGAACATTTCTCTAAATAGAATATCTTCCATTGTAAATTTAAATTATAAATCAAGATACCAACAGCCAAATAGGAAATAGGTTTCCCTTAAAATTTGTATTTTAACACTGAAGGAAAATCACAATAAATATATGATAATCCTGCCTTCTTTTTTAAATGTTTTCAAATTTAGCCTAAAAAATCTTTTTGACATTACAATTTTTGCTAAGTTTTCTCTGATCCTATTGTTTTAAAGACATTCATCTAAAAAGAGTTCTATATGCACCTGAAGGAAGATGCTCTTTAGTTAATGAGATACATATAAATTAGTTCATGATATCCATGATGCTCACTGCCATAATTTATAAATCTTTTTTCATGATTAGGTGGTGATTTTCTTGAAGGGAGGAAACAGGTCTCATTCATTTTGTTTCCTTACAGCCGAGTACATACACTCAACACATTTATGAATTGACAGGGGAATCCTCCTCGCCTGATATAGAACACAGAGTAGATGATTTAATATAAGAAAGGAACTAAAATGACATTTCAGATAAAGGGCTGGTATCCAAGATCTATAAAGAACTTCTCAAACTCAACACCCAAAAAACAAATAATCCAGTCAAGAAATGGGCAGAAGACATGAACAGACACTTCTCCAAAGAAGACATACAAATGGCCAACAGAAACATGAAAAAATGTTGAACATCACTAGCCATCAGGGAAATACAAATCAAAAGCACACCGAGATACCACCTCATACCAGTCAGAATGGCTAAAATTAACAAGTCAGGAAACGATAGATGCTGGCGAGGGTGTGGAGAAAGGGGAACCCTCTTACACTGTTGGTGGGAATGCAAGCTGGTGCAGCCACTCTGGAAAACAGTATAGAGGTTCCTCAAGACATTAAAAATAGAGCTATCCTATGACCCAGCAATTGCACTACTGGGTGTTTACCCCAAAGATACAAAGGTATTGATCCAATGGGGCACCTGCACCCCAATGTTTATAGCAGCAATGTCCACAATAGCCAAACTGTGGAAAGAGTCGAGATGCCCTTCAACAGATGAATGGATAAAGAAGATGTGATTCATATATACAATGGAATATTACTCAGCCATCAGAAAAGATCAATATCTACCATTTACATCGACATGGATGGAACTGGAGGGGGTTATGCTAAGTGAAATAAGTCAAGCAGAGAAAGACAATTATCATAGGGTTTTACTCATATGTGGAACATAAGGAATAGCTCAGATCACAGGGGAAGGAAGGGAAAACTGAATGGGAAGAAATCAGAGAGGGAGACAAACCACGAGAGATTCTGGATTCCAGGAACCAAACTGAGGGTTACAGAAGGGAGGGGGTAGGGGGATGGGGTAGCTGGGTGATAGGTATTAAGGAGAGCACATGTTGTGATGATCACTAGGTGTTATAGGCAACTAATGGATCATTGAACACTACATCAAAAACTAATGATGTACTGTATGTTGGCTAACTGAACATAATAAAAAAATAAATTAAATAAATAAAAATTGGGGGTGCCTGAGTGGTCAGTCATTGAGCATCTGCCTTCGGCTCAGGTCATGATCCCAGGGTCCTAGGATCGAGCCCCACATCGGGCTCCCTGCTCAGTAGAAAGCCTGCTTCTCCCTCTCCCACTCCCCCTGCTTGTGTTCCTGCTCTCACTATCTCTCTCTCTGTCAAATAAATAAATAAAATCTTAAAAATAAATAAATAAATAAATAAAATAAATAAAAATTTAAAAATAAAAAATAAAAGAAAGGAACTGATAATCCACAAAGCCTCCACCTGACTGTATCAATTGAGGCCAATGGCTTTCTATAAGTCAAATGTTTATATTACATAAAAGCTTTACATTCTATAAGCAACAAAGGAAAGTGAATAATTAATGCTGAACACATCAAATTTCCCCCTATTAACTACTATAGCAATCACACATTTATATCTCATATTAAATTCACCTGAATCAAAAAATAAATAAATACATACATACATAAATATATACATACATAAATTCACCTGAATCAACTCTAATGACACTTTAATCACGAGTAAAAGACCCTTAGGGTATAAAGTGTCAATATATGTTATAGAACTTACTCTATTTAAGTGTAGGATACTTTTCTCAATGGCCTTCATCTATTTGTGTGGTTACTTCTACTTATTTTAAAAGATAATAATTTTATTTTTAAATGACAAAAATGCTTATGTAATTGTACCACATTTTTAAAGTGACTTTAGAAGCTTACTTTCTACCATGGTTTTTATTTTTAAACATTATAGCCTCACATATGATGAAATATTTTGCATATTATTATAATTAAAATGCTATTTTATACAAATTGTAAATACCTATGACTGAAAGACAAAAGACTTTTCCACAGTAAATGAATTTAAATACTGAAAATACAGATTATCTCCAGAATTGGTGCCTGCAAGATTTTTTTTATGAGTAGAATTCCTTTTGGCAGAAAACAATTTGATTCAAACACTGAAGTGCAGGCAGAAGGTCTGGATTCTAGGTCAACATGTTTATGATTATTGATAAGTCACTTTAACTTTTACGGGTTTCAGTTCCAGATACTTGAAAACAAGTAAACTGAACTAGATGATTCTTAAGTGCCCTCCAGGTTTTATAAGTTGTAGTTTATGAAGAAAGAACACAATCCTATGGACTGCCTGGTTATCAGAATAGTTAACAAAACGGGTTGAACACTGTGGGTTTGTTGTAGGAAGATGGTGCTTCTGGGGCACATGATCATTTGAGAATGCAATCATGTAGGTTGTTTATCTCCCAGAAGAAATCTGAAGGAAGAGAGTCTAATTTTCAACGCAAAGTGTTTTGCGTGATTCCAACACGCCGCGTCCACAGCGTCACTGCTTCTCGGTTATGCGCTCAACACAAAGAACAGACATGCATCACACTCACTCAGATTCCTCAACCCAAACTGCACAGACTCCCTGAGGGTCTGGGTTTTGGTGCACTGTTTCTGAGTCATTTACTTCAGCTTTAAATAGTTCTGCTAAGGGAGGAAATGGGAGCAGGAGAGAAAGGTCACAACGTATCAGAAAAACACCCTGCAGACCTTGTCTTATTCCTTTCAGCCATTCGCAGGAAGAGCAAGCCATGTCTCCAGCTCCATAAGGGTTTCCAGAATTCCTCCTGATACAGGAAGATGCACGGGCGCATGCCTGGATTGTGGCTCCTCCCATGTCCCTCCCATCAGCCCCAGGTCTCTCCCCCTGCCTTCTAGTGCCTTCTATTCTGAGAGTACCTTCCACCTGGGCTCTACTTTGTGACTCAGGCTCTAGAGGTCCTGATTCTGGGAACTTCTGCCAATGCTGCTCCACCCCCAATCCCCACACCCCGCCCTTGTCCAGTTTGGGGTTTCATCATTATTACTGCCATCAGCATTCTGTCCCCAGGGCACAGGACACACAGCCCCCAGGGCTACTCTCTGAGCAATAGAGTCTATGTCCTAGATGGAGTAACAGAACATTTAAAGAAAATGAGAATCATGTCTTCTTTTAAAGAACAAAACCATCATTCCAAATGAAAAAAGCTTTTGGATCTTTATATTTGTCTTATATTTAAGAAGAATTTCTGGAGCTGGAACATAAATAATGCAAGCTAAGTATCTGATTAACTTCTGGTGGTTAAAGACCCATATAGTTACTAGGATAAATATCCATTATTGTCTCAGAGAGCAATACCAGACAATCTAATATCTATGAAAAAAGAGAAAAACAGGAAACCAATAGGAGGCTCCATTCATAAGTCATAATTAGCTTTCAAAGACCAATATATTTTATTATGAATATAAATCTCAATAAGGCAAAACTATGAAAATTTCATGACTCCAAAGCCTTCAATTAAAATTAAAATGCCTTATTTGAAAATTTGATTTTTATGCATATGACAGATAAAATACCCCAAAAAAGCATGAAATACTGAAATCAACTTTAACAAGCCCTAGGTTTAAATGACCAAAGGAAAATGAAATATATAGCAGATGGCTCAAAGAATGAGGTTTTTTTTTTTTTTTTAAGATTTTATTTATTTATTTGAAAGAGAAAAAGAGACAGCCAGAGAGGGAACACAAGCAGGGGGAGTGGGAAAGAGAGAAGCAGCCTTCCCACCAAGCAGAGAGCCCGATGCGGGGCTCGATCCCAGGACCCTGAGACCATGACCTGAGACAAAGGCAGTCGCTTAACCAACTGAGCCACCCAGGCGCCCCAAAGAATGAGTTTTTAATCTAAATTTTAAAAAGGGGGTTTTAGTAAATTGATTTTTTAATTAATACAACTGTCAGGAAAAATTCCTTTGAATCTACATCAAATAATGTATTTTTTACTTCAAAATGAAATACAAGTAAGTATCAGGATAACTCTACTGGCATCTAGTGAACGTTCAACCATCCTCTGAATTCAGGCTATAAAGCTAAATCAAGCCTAGTGTAAATGTCAGAAATGTTTGCATGGCCGGTGGAAAGTTTAATTTGTACTTCTATAAACCCACATTCAATTTTTCCTTACCTTTTATCCATCACTGCTGCTTCAGTAATTCTCAATATGTGATTAAAATAAGAACAATAAATTTAATTCAAGTTTGGGGATGAAAAAGCACTTTTCTTACCCTGGCAGAGGGGAGCAAGAGAATCCCACTGATACATGCCTCCTGGATTCCGTCGACAGGTTGCATTGCTGTGGCCAATCATTCGATACCCAGGCTTACAAAAATAATGCACCTTACTTCCATGTGCCCCTGTTGTCCTGTTGAAGATACCACCATTCTTCGGGGTGTGGGTCAAGCTGCAGTAAGGGGCTATATGGACACACAAACACATACAGATGCAAATAAATAAACAGATAGAGACCGTGGCATTTCCCTTGGTAAAAGGGATATAAATGAAATATCTTTATCGTTTCAGTAGTGGGAAATCAGCACCAATATGTCAACTGGTTCTAAAAAGCATCCCCAAACACCAAAGGCTGGCAAGGATGTGGAATGAGAGGCATTCTGATGCACTGCTGGTGAGAACGCAACATGGTGCAGCCACGTTAGAAGACAGTGGCAGTTTCTTATAAAATTAAACATACTTTCACCCTACGATCCTGCAGTCATACCCTTGGTATTTGTTCAAAGGACTTAAAAATGTATGTCCATTCTTCCCCTCCCGCTACCTTCTTCTTCTTCTTTTTTTTTTTTTTTAAAGAATTTATTTATTTATTTTAAGAGAGAGAATGAGAGAGAGAGCTTGAGATGGGGGAGGGTCAGAGGGAGAAGCAGACTCCCCGCCGAGCAGGGAGCCCGATGCGGGACTCGATCCAGGGACTCCAGGATCATGACCTGAGCCGAAGGCAGTCGCTTAACCAACTGAGCCACCCAGGTACCTCTGTACCAAAGGTACAGATCTGAAATTCAACAGTCTTGCACAATTCACAGCGCTTACCAGCGGGGGAAATCAGAGGGGTAGACGAACCATGAGAGACGATGGACTCTGAAAAACAAACTGAGGGTTCTAGAGGGGAGGGGGGTGGGAGGATGGGTTGGCCTGGTGGTGGGTATTGAGGAGGGCACGTTCTGCATGGAGCACTGGGTGTTATGCACAAACAATGAATCATGGAACACTTCATCTAAAACTAATGATGTAATGTATGGGGATTAACATAAGAATAAAAAAAAAATTAAAAACCACTAATCTAAAAAAAAAAAAAAAAAAGAAAAATGTATGTCCACAAGAAAAAAAAAAACAAAAAACAAAAAACCCTGCACATGAATGTTTATAGCAGCTCTATTCAAAATCGCTCAAGCTTGGAAGCAACCAAGATGCCCTTCAGTAGGTGATGGGCAGATAAACAGTGGTCCATCCGGACAGTGGAATATTCTTCAGCACCAAAAAGAAATGAGCCATCAAGCCATGAAAAGAAATGCAAGAACCTTAAATGCTTATTATTAAGTGAAAGAAATCAGTCTGAAATGGCTACTGATTGTATGATTCCAACTATATGGCATTCTGGAAAAGGCAACACTCTACAGATGTTAAAAATATCAGTGGTTGCCAAGGGTCAAAGGGAGGGATGAACAGGTGGAGCACAGAATATTTTTAGAGCAGTGAGACTTCTCTGTGATACTGTGATGATGGATACATGTCATTATACGTGTGTCCAAACCCACAGAATATACGACACGAAGAGTCACCCTGATGTAGACCACGGACTGCAGGTGATGACGATGAGTCCACGTAGGTTCACCGATTCTAACAAACACACCATCTGGTGGGGATGTTGATAGTGGGGGAGGCTGTGTCTGTATAGGGGCAGGGGGTACATGGGAACTCTCTGTATCTTTTCCTCAAGTCTGCTGTGAAACTAAAACTGCTCTGAAAAAATAAAGTCTAAAACAAAACCAAACAAAACCAAAAAGCATCCCAAAAGCCTAGAGGAGCCAAGGTTTAAGCTCTTATTTTGAAGTTTGGATTATGTGCAATTATTACTCGATGTGAAGGCAGATCTTGACTTTCTGATTAAAATACTATAAGGAAATACATGGAAGAATCATACTGAATTCCCTCACTCATCCCCTTAAGGCTCACCCACGTAAATAAGCTGACTGACCACCAGAATAAGAAACGATGAGGTGCAGCTCTGGGAACCTTATTTGAAACAAAACAATTCTCAATACTAAAAAAGAAAAGTATCATTAAAATGGAGAAAATAGAAGAATATATTTTGCAGTTAGAGCCATTAACTTTCTCCTTGTCTCTGTTGCTACGTGGGTCTTGTGAATTGCACAATCATATAGATATGAAGCTTCTTTTTGACATACGGGATTTGAATAAAATCTCTGAAGAAAATGCACTACTCCAGGACAATACAAATCTTACAATAGCTTTAATCACTGCCTCTGTAGGAACTTTTTAAAATTGAAGACAGGCAGTTATTAAAATAACAGTCTTACCCATGTATCATATGACCTCACTGATATGAGGAATTCTTTTTTTTTTTTTAAAGATTTTATTTATTTATTTGAAAGAGAAAAAGAGA